TGCCTGGGTTGTGAGTCTGCGGGCTTTTGGATGGTCATTGGAATCTCGTCGAGGCCTTTTCGGGGACCTCTTGGAGGTACTTGTGAGGCCTCCGGGCGGCTGTTTTGGGGCTTCTTGGGGCCTCTTTGGGGTCTCTTTCGGGGTTCTCTTGGGCAGCCAGCCGCCCCCTGGGACGACAGCGCGGCGCTAGCTTCCGCGAGGCTGCAGCATATGCAGCATCGGAGGTGACGGGGTGAGATTCAAGTGGAACGGAGAGCCCCCCTACCAGGAAATCGGTTTCGGTTTCGTGTTCGTGCGTGCCGTGCGTGCGGGCGAGGCGAAGCTGCGTGGGCGGGCGAGAAGTGTCCCGCCTCTGGCTGAGGCGCGGCCGGACAAAATGTTTCCTGTCCGGGGCCCGGTGGCGCGCGGTGTCCCGCCGGTGTCCCGCCGGTGTCCCGTCGGTATCCCGATGATGATGATGATGATGATGATGATGATGATGATGATGATGGTGATGGTGATGGTGATGATGATGACGATGTTGTTGATGATGATGGCCATGATGGTGATGATGATGGTGTCCCGATGATGATGATGATGTTGATGATGCTGATGTCGCTGCTGATGATGGTGATGGTGTCCCGATGATGCTGCTGATGATGGTGCTGATGTTGATGCTGCTGAAATGATGAGATGATGATGATTATGAGACTGATGATGATGATAATGGTGTCCCGTTGATGCTGATGAGGTTGATGATGATGCCGTTGGTGATGCTGATGGTGATGATGCTGGTGGCGTTCCGACGATGATGATGTTGATGATGATGATGGCGATGATGGTGTCCCGATGATGTGTTGATGATGAGGATGATGGTGAGGTGATGATGATGATGGTTGCCGTTGATGATGATGATGCGGATGATGATGATAATGATGGTGTGCCGATGATGATGATGATGATGATGATGGTGATGTTGCTGATGATGGTGGTGCCCCCGTGACGATGATGTTGATGATGTTGTTCATGATGATGATGGGATGAGGGTGATGATGATGGTGGTGTTCCGATGATGATGATGATGTGTCCCGATGATGATGATGTTCATGATGATGATAATGTTGCTGATGATGTTGATGATGGTGCCCCGATGATGGTGATGATGTTGATGATGTTGTTCATGATGGAGACGATGAGAATGGGATGCTCGTGATGATGATGGTGGTGTCCCGATGATGCGGATGGTGTCCCGATAATGATGATGATGATGATGATGATGGTGGCGATGATGGTGTCCCGATGATGATGGTGATGAGGATGGTGATGGTCATGGTCCTGATGATAATGGTATCCCGATGATGATGATGATGATGTTGATGATGCTGATGTTGCTGATGATGATGATGGTGTCCCGATGATGATGATTGATCATTATGATGTTGATGATGATGGGGTGAAGATCTGATGATGCTGATGAAGATAATGATGGTTTCCCGATGACGATGAGAATGAGGTTGATGATGATGTTGTTAATGATGATGATGATGGTGAGGATGATGATGGTGTCCCGATGATGATGATGTTGGTAATGATGATGACGATGATGGTTTCCCGATGATGATGATGTTGTTGATGATGAGGATGATGATGTTGATGATCATGGTGTCCCGATAAGGATGATCATAATTGTGACGATGATGATGGTGTCCTGATGATGATGTTGATGATGATGAGGTTGTTGCTGATGATGATGGTTCCCCGATGATGATGGTGTTAATGATGTTGTTCACAATGCTGGTGGTGTTCCGATATGGATGATGATGGTGGTGTTCCGGTGATGATGGTGGTGTCCCGATGATGATGATGTTGATGATGATGATGGTGACGATGATGGTGTCCCGATGGTGATGATGATGATGGCCATGATGTTGATGATCGTGCCCCGATGGTGATGGTGTTGATGATGCGGATGTTGCTGGCGATGATGATGATGGTGTCCCGATGATGATGGTGTTGATGATCGTGAGGATGTGGATGATGATAAAATGATGAGAGTTGGTGATGATGAAGAAGGTGATGATGGTGTCATGATGATGATGAGATTGATGATGATGCTGATGATGGTGATGATGGTGATCATGATGATGGTGTCTCGATGATGATGATGATGTTGATGGTGATGGTGTCCCGATGATGATGATGGTGATGTTGATGAGGGTGATGATGAAGTGATGATGATGATGATTTTGATGATGGTGGCCCGATGATGATGTTGCTGATGGTGATGATGATGGTGTTCCGATGATGACGGTGATGGTGATGATGATGATGGTGTCGATGATGCTGGTGACCCGCTGATGGTGTTGATGTTGGTGATGATGATGCCCCTGCTGATGATGATGGTGGTGTTCTGATGATGGTGGTGTTGATGATTTCTTTCATGGTGGTGGGGAGATGATGTTGATGATGGTGGTGGTGTTCCGGTGATGATGATGATGGTGGTGTCCCGATGATGATGATGTTGATGATGATGATGGTGACGATGAAGGTGTCCCGATGATGATGATGGTGGTGCTGATGATGATGTTGATGAGGTGATGATGATGATGGCGCCCCGATGATTAAGATGATGTTGGTGACGTTGATGACGATGATGTTGATGATGATGGCGACATTGATTGTGATATCGATTGTGATTCCGATAGTGAGATCGATCGTGGGGCCGAATGTGGTATATATACATATATAGATACATATATATATATGGTGATACCGAAGTTGATATCGATAGTCGGATCGATTGCGAGATCGATAATCAGATCGATTGTGAGATCGGTCGATTGAAATAGATCGAGTGAGATCGATTGTGAGATCGATCGAGTGAGATCGAGCGAGACCGATCGTGAGATCGATACTGAGATCGATCGTGAAACCGGTCGAGTAAGACGTTGGTTCCCCCCCCGAACCTCCTTATCACCCGAAGGGTGGTCGCGTAGGTAAGCTGAGCCCTTCAGTACCATTTCGGCTCATCCATTATTCGTCTCTGTCCTTCCCCTTCCTCCGCTTCTCAGCTTGGGCGTTTCCCCTAATTTCCGCCTCGGCCGCACGTCCTTAGCATCAGTCACAGAGCCACAGCTGCCGCCATCATCTGCCCAAACAATCAATCAATCAATCGATCAATCTTGGGGCTTCGTGGAGGGGCCTCTTGGGGGCTTTTTGGGGCGTCCTGGGCGCCTCTTGGGGCGGAAGGTTCTGATTTTCGGTTCGTGCTCCCCCTCTTGGGCCCCTCTTGGGGCCGTCTTGCGGCCTTCTTGGGCAGTTTTGGACGTCTCTTTGACCGTCTTGGGTCGTCGGGGGGCGATATTTGCGGCCTCTTGGGCCTTCTTGGAGCGTCGGAAAGCTGAAAAAGCGAGAAGGCCAAAAACCGTCAAACACCGGTTAGCATATCAATGAGTTTTGCGTCTTGGAGGCCTCTTCGGCCGAATTGAGGCCATCTTGGGCGTATTGGAGCGATCCTTTGGCAACTCGGGGCCCTCTTTGGGCCGTCTCGAGGGCCCTTTTTGGGGCTCTCCGGGGTCTCGGGGCCCTCCTGGGCTTGAGAGAAGTCACGCGCGAGAACGCTTCCCGGAGCCCCGGAGGCACGCGCCCAGCCCCAGGAGATTTTAGAAGTTGGGGTCTGGGCCCCTTCAAAGACCCCTCGGGAGTGAGGACCGGGTCTCGGGGGGCTGCAGTCAAGACGCTGGGATAAGGAACAGTTTGGTTTCGAAAGGGGCTCGATGTTCCTTAGGTTCCTCCAGTGCTGTTCCTCTTGCCCTCCTGGGGCACGGAGGCGCTCACAGGGCCACTAAGGGGCTTCGTTCCTTATTTAGCGTCCCTTCTTTCAGCAGCCAATATGTAGGCAAAGGACCAGAGGACACGCCCACTCCGTGTCCAGCGGCACGGTGGCGGGTTCAACAGGTCTGCGCCTTTCCGCCGACCCCCTCGACGAAGGGAGGACTGCAGACAGGGCATTGGACCTCAGGGAAGGGTCAAAAGGGGAGAGGGACAGCCTACCATTCAGGCGATCGCAAACGTGGATCAAGGGGGCGTGGATTTGCGACGGGTCCCGTTTCCATGGGAAATCACGGATTTCCGCCGCCGAACGAGGCGGCACCTGCCGCACTTTGGGGAGGGCACCTCCCTGGATCCATGGATTTGGCGACCGCGCGCCAAATCCATGGATCGCTAATCCATGTTCGCGCGCCCCCGACTCGTGGGCCTCGTCGGTGTTTCCTGGGGCTTCCCAGAGGCATCTTAGGAGCGTCTTTGCGGTCTCTAGGGTTATCTCCTTTGGACTCCTTCCAATTTTCTCCTCTTGAGCTTCCCTAGGGGCCGTCTAGGGCCTTCTTGGCACTTGGGCCGTCTGGGGGGTACGTTGGGCCGTTTCGGGGGCCTCCTGGGCCGTCTTGGGGCGCTCTCGGGCCATTATTGGGCCGTCTTGGGGCGATCTTGGAGACCTCTAGTGCCGTCTTAGGTTACCGAAAGCTCGAAAGGACCAGAACGTTGAAACCCTTCAAAAGCCCAATGAACAATCATTGTGTTTCGCCTCTCGCAGCCGGTGCTACTAGAGCTTTCTTGAGGCGTCTTGGGCGCCTCTTGAAGTCTGCAGGCCCGATTGAGCGTCCAGGTGCGATCTTGAGGTAGGTCGGGGTCCTCAAGGGCCGCTATGTGAACCTCCCTGGGCCTTTTGCGGCCACCATGGAGGCGTCAGGCGGTGCATCTGGAGGATCGGAGAGCCCCGGAGGCACGTTGACGAGCTCGTGCCCCCACGCGCCACATCCCGCCCCCTCCCCCACCCTTTGTGACGAGCTCGTGCCCCCCCCCTCCCCCGCCTCCCCACCCCCCCTAGCAAAGGATTTCAGACCCCAGTGGAGGGGGAATGGGGGAGGGTGGACGTCCAATCTTCCCACAGACAGTTTCACCCCCAGCAAGCGGGGGTCGGCTGATTGTCTTGTTCCTCCGTTTATCTTGCTCCTCTGTAGGCATAGGGAGAAGGACGTGGACCTCGAGGACCTGCAAGTCGCCATCCCATGTACTCTACTGGAGAGGTTCATCTGACCCGCACGATTAGATCTGTCCCACCTCCCGCCACTGGTCATGTCCAATTCCCCTGACCAAACAGACTCCAGAAATGGAATGTTGACCCACCTCCTTGGAACCGCTGCTGTTCAAAACTAACTTTGCCAGGATATGTTACTGAATGGACGGTTGGTGAGGGTGAATGGTGTCGACTTGGTATGGTTGTGTAGCCACGGCGAGTGTCAAAGATGGACCTTTTGTGTCGTGCTTTTTGTCTTGCTTCTATAGCTTCAGAGCCGTGGGAGAGGGGGGATAGCGTGGGTCATACCTCTCCTCCTAGCCCTCGTCCCTCCCCCTACATCATGCTCCTCAATGTTATTGCGTCGCACGGGCATAAGCTGTGCAGCTGTTTCGTATATGTGTAGCCCCTGCAAGAAGCATAGGAAAGGCCTCTCAGGCGACAGGGCCGTAGTAACACATGTGAGTCAGGCACTTGGGCGCAGAGACTGGAAAAGTAGGGGTACGAGAACAAACTTAAGAAGATGTGCCCGCGAGGGTATAGAGTACCCTCAGCATGCTGGAATTCAGGGGGGAGAAGCAACACATAGCATGATAGCCATAACCAACCTGAGGAGAAAACCGCAAGTAGGGGAACCAATCTACTTGGCATGGCAAGAAGTGTGTGGGCGGCAGATATTTGAACGAGGTGGCAACTGCATTCGATTGTATGGGGTGTACGTCGATTCAGGCTCGGGGCTGAAATGTTCTGAAAACATGTTGTGTTTGAGCTGTAGATCGGTCATTGTCTACACCCCCCTACGTGCGTCCTCCCTGAATTGGCCTCCACCCCATCCTCCATCCTGACGTCGCGTATCGGGTTCGGCTAGGCTCACGCAGTTTCATTTGCGGTGGTAAGGCGTAAGCAAAGATATGACGTACGGCGAGTGTGGTTCGCTCTGCCGGATCGTCTATCTTGGAAACACGCGTGAGTTCCAAGTGAGGCTGTTATTAACGTAGGGGAGTATGGTTGAGGCTTTAGGATGCGAGTGCAGGGTTGAACGTGTAGTTGGAATTGCTTAGTGATGGTGAGCAGGCTCAGTCGCGCTCTACCTACTTGAAGCGCCACGTATGACTCGGGTTGGCCGCTGCTGGTCAGCGGGACCGTGGTATAGTATCCAAGCGTACGCGGAGTGTAAATGGTGAAAGGGCAGATACACTATTCATAAGTAGTTCCGAGCGTTATTGGTAAGCTTGAGTTTGGCCTCTTCCACCCTCCTTGCATGCTACCCTGCCCATCCCCATTCCACTATGATGGCGTCGCGAAACCTGCGACGGAGAAGTAGGCTGCATGTGAAGAGGTCAAACCCGTGGGGAGTACCGAGGCTGAGGGCGACAGAATTGGCAATCATGTAGACGTGCTCGGGGGGGGGGCTCGGTCAAGACATGGCCGACAAGTAGGGACGACATCGCTATGATCTCGCAAGGCGGAGGGGGATCCTCTGTCCGCAGCATGTCTGTAGCATGAAAACATGTAGGTGAACTCACGTGTGAGGTCACGTTCTCAAGCAGACTGGCAGTTCACCTCGACGCCGAGTTGGGTCAGTCGTAGGTCTGGGTTGGTGCAAGCAAGCTGCATAGATCTCATGTAGGGAAACGCTCCCAATCAAGGGTACGACAACGCCAAGAATGGGACACAGGCGGGGAAACGTGCCCCAACAAGTCAGAATCTTACCTCCCAGCCGTGTGGGGTTGGTTAGTGGTTGGTGAGACGTCTTCTGGGTTGGTGAGACGTCTTCTGTGCATGTCATGGTGTGGCATGTTGTTTTAGGTCGATGGTATCGGTGGTGCCTGCTTGACGCTGGGTGCGCCTGCATTGTATTCGGCTGGTGTGTGCTGGCCGTCTGCTGTGGGATGGTCGGTGTGGGTGCCTGTTGGTGGGCGGCTGTGGTCTGCTAAGGTAGTTGGATGCGCCCTGGGTGGACAGTACTGCTCGATGTTGGCCTGGGCGGGGGTCGTGCGTTGGTGATGCGGTATGCTGGTTTGGCGGCCGTGCTTTGCTGTGGAGGTGCTGGGCGGAGGCGTGATGATGTTTGATTGTCGAGGCCTAGATGGCTGTCAGTTCGTTGGAGCGGTGGTCTCTCCTCCAGGGGCAGTTGGTGAGTTGTCGTCGCGTGGTTAGTTGTCGTTGTTGCCGTTTGGTTGTGTAGCTATGGTTTGGTGGTGTGGCTTTGCTGATTTAGATGGTGGGTTGTCTGAGTCGGTCTGATGATTGTTTTTGTTGGTTTTCAGAACGTGACTTGCGTGGTCCTCGATATCGGTGCCCTAATTCGTGATGTTAGTGATTAGGTCGGTTGCTGCTGGTAGGTCGTCTGGTCCCTGGTTATTGTGCAGTGAGGGTGTCGGCTTAGGTGTTGTACGTAGTCAGGTGTGTGTCGCAGTGATCGCTGATCATGCTGTGGATGCACTGGGTAGCAGGCGCAACTTTACGGTGAAAGTCGGGGCCAGCGCAATATAATTCTTACATTGTGGGGATGGTACAGTCAATGCCGGCCTTGGGGTCTGCTTTGGTCAGTGGCTTCGGAGGTAGGTAACGTCGTGGTATTTTGGACGTGATCTCAGAATGGGGAGTATGATAGGCCGATGCCGATGCTGTGGTTGAAAGGTGGTCGTGGTGGTCGCGGTTGAACGATGGTGTCAGAGGGTGGGCAGTGCAGTGAGTACGGTAATGATGTGTTGGTGAATATGCCTATGTTTATCCGGTTGAGGTGGCGGTGCCAGTCGTCCATGAGGTAATGTTTGCCTGGGAATAATACGTGTATCTCTTAGCGAGGAGGTTTATAGTAGAGAGCTGTGGGCTTAATGGGCCATAGATGAGGACTGGTGACAATGGCTGTGGGCACTGTAGGTGGTTACCGTCGGTGGCTGGTAGTCGCTGGAAGTATCGTCGAAGTGAAAATATTTCCAGATCCGTCACGTGTGCCTGTCCGTGTTGCTGTGAGTATCTTCCATGCGGCGTGTTGACCGATTGGAGTCGAAAGAGTTCGAGGAGTCAAGGTCCGGATGTCGTTGGTGCGGTGGGCTGGTTGTTTGTATTCTCGGTCTAGGTGGTGTTGTTTGTTGCTGATTGGTGCGGTGCTCCGCGTAGGGCGTAGGGGGGCCAGGGAGTCCGGGCGTGCTGGTCGAATGTGGCCAGTTCATGTTTTGCGCCATGTCTTTCCCCAGTCGTATTCGAGTCGTCGTCTTCAGTGGCCAGTGCGTACTTGTTTGATGACTTCGGGGATTCGGTACTGGAACTCGGGTCCTTCTAGGGTGTGGCACCCGTTGGACGGGTGTGGGAGTAATGTCGGTCGAGTGTGGGATTGTCGGCTGCGTGAAGTGTTGTGGGTATCCGGGGTGAGGGGGTGAGATCGCAGTGCAAGGGAGAAAGCCCCTCACCGGGAAATCGGTTTCGGTTTCGTTTTCGTGTCGCGCGTGCGGGCGAGGCGAAGCTGAGCGGGCGGGCGAGAGGAATGAGCCTTCCTCTGGCTAGGGCGCCGCCTGGCCAAAAGATCGCCCCTCCGCCGGGTTGTCCGGCGGTGGGCGGGGGTGTCCCGCGGGTGTCTCCAGTTGGTGTCCCGTCGGTGCCCCGTAGTGAAATCGATAGTGAGATCGATAGCGGGAACGATCGTGAGATCGACAGAGATCGATCGTGAGATCGATAAGGAGGTCGACCGCGAGAACGATAGCGAGATCGAAACTGAGTGTCATGGTGAGATCGATTGTGAGAGCGATAGCGAGAGCGATAGTGCGATCGATAGTGGGATTGGTAGTGAGATCGGTAATGAATCAATAGCGAGAGCAATCGTAAGATCGATAGTAAGGGCGATAGTGAGATCGATAGTGAGAGCGATCGCAAGATCGATCGGGTGAGACGTTGGTCCCCCTCCCCGGATCTCTTTAATCACCCGATGGTGGTCGCATAGGTATCGTCGTAAGGCGTTCTGGGCCTAGAGATCCGAATGTGGTAGGCCATGTTGGGAGTTCCGGGGTAAGCGCTGTTGAAATGTGTTCGGTCGGTGGCTGAGTGTCGCGAATGTTGGGAGTTCGTGCGAACCTTGAAGTGCCTGCCCCCTGCTTAAAGCGTGTGATGGTGTTATGTGCACTGATATATATATATATATATATGTCGTTTGGGAGGGTGCTGTCTGAGAGTGCTGCCGGTATGAGCGTGGCCTATGCTTGATGTAAAAAGGTTGGTCTTGATGTGTGCGATGCGTCTGCTGGTAGGTTAGTGAGCGGTTGTGGTTCTGAGCCAGTGTCGAGGTTGTTGGCGCACGTGGTAAAGGTCGAGATGAAACTGACAGTGTCGGGCACGACGGTAGAGACAAGGTTTTAGATTTCGTCGAGGGTGAATTGGCAGTGCTTGCGCATTTCCTGCGGATGTAAAGTGTACATATTATCGGCGTTGTCTTTTGGTGTGATGCCGTCGTGTTGCATGTGCAGGTATATTTGATCCGTACTTCACCTTGGTGCGATAGTTATCTGTTCGAGCCCTTAACATGTGATGTTGATGATGCGTTCGTGATTGATTGCGTGGTGAGGTGCAGTTGTTTCGTCAAGAACTAGTTTGCCGCCATTGCGTCGTTGGAGGAACCTGTCGTGTGATAATTATGTTGTGGGGTCGGTCGGATCTCTGCGTGTTTAGGCCGCTAGTGGAGTTTTATTGGTCCCATGCGAGGAGGAGCTTGATGAGTGTCTCGGGCAATTGCCGGTGGTAGCTTGTGCTGGTGGCGGGCAAGCCGGTGGTTGTAATAACACGTGGTCGCACGGATTTGTCAATGCAGAATGAGGGCTCGCCGTCGCATCAGTGTATCATATTGTTGCGTTGGGCCCAAGTTTTTGTCATGAGTCTCTCGTCCTGCATTCTTTTTGAATCGGTCCGAGGGGTATCCACTTTTCCGGCCATCAGGTTGCCTGTCCTCAGTGTCTACCGTGCAGTCCCTTCCTGACGTGTGCGGGGCTGCCCGCGAGATCCGAGTGGGTCTGTGCATACGGAGGTTCCTCCTCGCTCTGGGTCTGCCTGCTGGTTAGCTTCCTGCTCGTGCGGGGCTTGGCATACGGGC